CATGACATGCAGTAATACACAGAGCCAGACTTGACCACAATTTATGTTAACAATAATTAATAATCTTCTTAGACATGCATATCATTGAGTGGACTCAGGAACACAAGAGCCTACAGACGGCACTTTTTAAAAATACAGCATTGTAGCGTGGCAGGATAGAGCCAGTGAAGGGCTTGGGATCACCATAAATAAAGGCTAGTAGTGAGTCACTGCTAGAGGACCACACCTGGCTGTGTTACTGAAAAGCTTTAAGGCACATCATTTTTCTCATCATGAACTACTGGTCCTGGTCCAAACAGGCTTTCTAATGAATTCAGTTATTACTGCGTTTTAGATGTGATGCTCCAGGTGTAACTATTAACAATGTGTCATATTGACTTTTAGCCACTTTTTGTGTTTTGGGAGGATCAGATAACTATCTGATTGTTAAAAAGCCAAGAGTAAACGCAACCAGGATGTTTTGGAAAAAGATTGCTGTGAGATTGCTCAGATACTTTAGGAGGCAGTTTGAGACACACTGGAGACGAAGCAGTGCCAGATCTAAATGTGTCTCTTTCTTCTAGCCGCATACGTAATCTGTACTCCTCCCGAAGGAAACTGTCTCATCAGTGAAAATCATGGATGGAAAATACTTGTACTTTTACTCAATTACATTTCCAAGAGAAAAAACATCACCGCTCATCCTCACATTTTCTCTTGTTACAAATCTGAGAGATTTTCCCACTAGAGATGGCACAATACCGATTTCCACTTATATTGAAATACTGAATATTGAAACTGATCTGATATTTTTATATAAAACTACTAAGCTTTAAAGTGAGTTATTTTTCACTGAAGATTATCTAAAAGCAGGCTACCAGGCTGCAGCACCGTACTAGGCCACAGGAAGAAACACACAGCTAACATCACATCACACAGTGTGAGAGTGTGCTATTTCAGGACGGATTTGTTACATGATCAGACCAGATTCATTCTTTGTCTGATCCAGCTTTTTCTGCTGACATTGATCCAATAATAATACTCAATACTGATATGACATCTTTAATTCCCAGTTTTTTTTATTAATACAGCCAATCAAATTCCTGTCAGTCTATGATATTGCTTTGATACACAACCATGCTAATTTGTGTGAAGTCTAGTACCACTGATCAGTCATTGCACCGCTCACTACCAGACAAATAAAAGTTTTGTAATTTATTTGTTAAAATATTTACTTTATACTTTTATACACTCAAGTACTGACAATACACACAATGTGATCTGAAAAGCTTATTTTTTATCAGTATAATAAATTTAACATGCTAATGATAAAATATTGTCATTACCCAACTCTACTTCAGTATGTTTGAATGTTGATATTTTTTATACTTTGACTGAAGCATATTTTTGGCTCTATACTTCACTTATAATTGAGTAAGATTTTGACATTTTAAGATCTTGAGTATAATTTCTCTCTACTGTTTCCACCTCTGAAGGAACAGATGAAAAAAGCAGCATACACTAGCTCCTGTCATCCTTTATACTGCAAGTGTAGCAGTAGTTTAAAAATGTATAAATGCAAAAATTGAATACATTTTCTGACACATCTGAGGATATTCGGAAGAGAATCCTTTTGACTTGTGTGTAACACAGGAAAAAGCAACCCTGATGCAAATTGTAAGTCTAACAGAAATGCACTTATGTGGCCAGGTGTGAGTCCTGAACCAGCTTCAAAATGATTACTTTATAAAACCTGGAAAATCTTTTTTATTCTAAGAAATTTGGACATTTCTTTTGGCTCACTCATGTACTGTAAACAGGGCAGCTTGCTTTTTCATATAGTTTTACAAATTAAAATAATAAAAACCACTAAGTTTTGATATGGCAGCGATGAAATGGAATGCACATAAATCCTGTCTGGACATTATGCAGATATCAGATTCAAGAAATGACCAGTGTAAATAGGCTTAGTGATGGCTGCAACCAGAATTCATTTTTCTGGGGCCACAATCTCACATTAATCCTCCTTCGCTGTGAACATTACTTCAGTTAATGGACAGAAGTGTGGTGGAGCTGAATAGCAGCACAGGCATCCATCTTCAGCCGCCATTTCCTCTCTGTTGGCACAGCTCCAAGCAACTGTGTGTAGGCATTTGAAACATGACTGCGTGCCACTCGGAGAAGCAGTGTTTCATGTGCCAGGGCTACTTTCCCTGCTTTTCCAGTGCCACTGTCCATGCCATCTGGCAAGACTGAGGCTGGCAGCAGAGATGGCCATGCTGAGCAGGGCTGTGTTCTGTCCTCCTGCTTTTTTCTCCTTGGCCAGCCAGGCAGCCTGTGCTCTATGTCATATAAAGTGATGGAAATGGCACAGCTCCCAGCGCCTTTTTTTAATCCCACAACCTTTCAGGTCCTGACACCTCAGACCCTGCTGGCACCTGCTGTGTAAATTCACTCTGTGCTTCGCTGTTAATTTGCGACAAAAAACAACTTCGCTGCCAGGAGGATAGAGACGTCATCAGAGGTGCTGTATGCGCTGAACTGCTCTTTAAAAACTGTGTTACCGTCAGAATTAAAGGCAGGTTTTGTCTTGTCTCTGTTTGCCAGCGCTGCATCTCAAGAGTCCGGAGTCAAGAAGAATTTGTCATTCCATCCAAATATAACTGTACAGTGGAATTAAACAATGTTCAGCCAGTGTCTCAGTGCCACAAGACAAATTCAGTGTTTATAGACACTCCATCCATATGTACACAGAGTGCCTGATATTTACTGGATGTGAAGATGGCCACGACTATTGGGATTTTGCTAGTTGCTTGCTGATTGGCTATCTGCACATCCTTTCCGCACAATTGCCCGCTCAGAGCACTGCTGGATTAAAAAAACTTTGCATGTTTAAAAGGTATTCAAAAGTTCTTATTGAAGAATTTAAGTAGCTACTAATGAGAAATACATGCTTTCTTACACATACCGTTTGTTCCATGCGGATGTGTTTTTGTTGCAGCTCCTTTCTTAAAAGTCACCTATCCCTACACATCCCACAAGAACAATGGTTTGTGGTTGGTTATTTTTATTTTGCATGTCAGTCAAATTATCCTTTCCACTCAGAGAAGGCAGTTCTCAGCCACATTAAGTCACAAAACACACCTGACACTCTGATGATAAGCAGAAGTCTAGCTTGCAAGAGTGTTTACTAGACCACACAGTACAAGTGACCAAGACATGGAATACACAGTGCAAGAGACAGTGCCTGTTTCAGCAGGACAACACAGCAGCTGAGATGATGCAGAGTGAAAGGACAGTCCAGATTGACTACACAGTTAGTCAACTGAGTTCAGTACAGTGTACTCATCTGCAATATAATACTACACAATAGGAATGAGACAGTATAAAAACTTCAGTAACCCTTTACTTGAACCCCGCTATATAACTTTGGCATAACCATGCCATAAACATGTCATAACAGATGGTGCATGTTGTCATGAGTTGCCATTAGATGTTATATCCAGTGATATAAAAGTTTTATGTTTCTATTACTTTTTATTATCATTACATACAAGGTGCGAAATATGGTGGGTCATGGGGGCCCAGGATCCCTAATTATCCTCTCGGACCCCCTAAATGTCTCAAAATCTAAATTCTAGGGGGTCCCGGAAAATAAGTTTATTATGACATTATGCTTTCTGCTAGGGAAAACTAAACACTCAAATACAAATTCAGGGAAAGGTCATTGTTTAGCTGCTTCAGTCCTTAATTTTCTTAACTAACTAGAGATGCAGCACTGATTTCCAAATCAGAACTTGATTAGTAAACAAACGTTTTGTTGCCATTGAAGCTAGCATTAGTGCCGTTGGCAAGTGAGTTACTCTAAGCACTAGAGTAGCCAGCCAACATGGGACCCCCTGTATACCAGGGGGTATTTCACACTGATTATATAATGTTTGACATTATATAATCTCTAGAGACTAGAGAACATTTAGCATGTGACATAAGCTCTCACAACATCAAACATTATGACATCTGTCAAGACAATTTCCAGTATTAGTAACATGATATTGTTAACTTTGTTAGCTATTTTACTGAACAAAATCTTTCATGACAACTCATGACAGCTTATGTCATGCTTATGGCATGCTTATGTCAATGTTATGTAGCAGGGTTCAAATAAATTCCTATCATGAAACTGTGACCAGCATTAGCACAGTTTTCAGTATTATGACAGTATCGTTAAATTACATTGTACAGATCGAAAAGCACAAAAACTATATGTGAAGTTATATGTATATGTATATCTATATATCTGTGTAACTGTATGATACTGATAGTATACGAGTGTCTGACTCTTGATTAACACAGAAGCCATTTTTTGGAATAGTAGGCTATACTTATTAGTTGATACTACTAAAATTGGTATAGGTGCTACACCAACACGGGTATACTTGTATAAAAAATATACTGTCCAGCACTGCATTGTGCCATATTTTCTCATTCTCAGCTCAGTCAACAGAGTGAACAGGATGTCAGAGGTCTACCATATCAACACATGATAGAGTGAATCCAGAGGCACAGTTTTGCTGGAGTGCGTGTCCATCAGCAGTACAGCCTGCTGGGGTTGAGGTGTTGAGAGCAAACAGGCGCAGAGGGAGTCTGGTTACACACAAGAGTAATTGGCTCACAAAAAGTGGATTTACAGGGTGTGAGTAAAGGGACCAATGGGAAATGGCAATTTCACAGGCAGCCAGCGGCCTGAGAAAGCCCAGCTTACTCCATGCTGGTAACACCATGACGAACAATCATTAACAATCGCATTATTTTATTAGTTTTTTTTTCTCTCACTACTCCCTCTCTTTAAATGCCGTACTGTATACAGTCAGCGTTGGAATCTCTTTGGCACAAAAGTGAAGCTTAAACATGTCAACTGTCTTATATAAGCCTGGATCTAGCATCTGTCACACACCTCTTTGGGCTATTTTAAGATTGTTTACAGTCCCGGCCTTTTCACTATCCTCCTTTTGTGTTTTCAGATAAAGACTGCATCTGAGAGCATGGCTTGGCAAGGCATCCCCTGGCTTCTGATGTCGTTTATGTTGGTGAGTATGGAAAGTTTTGCCTTGTCTTCATTGTTCTGTCAAGAAAACATGCATTCATTTTGTTCACTCGCTGTTAAATTACCACTCGGTAGATTCTTGTACTACATGGAAACAGTGCATGTTGTCAGTGTGACCTTTAGCTTATTCACACAGCTATAAAATACCACTGGAGCCTAACTTTTAGCAAGCACTTGTATTTCATTGTCTGTAGATTTTGAAGCTGAAGTTCACATTAAATCTCAAACCCTGTAAATTCTGTCCTGCTGAATTTTCTCACTCCATTTTTCATGCTTAAAATCAATGAGTAGAAAGAGATTAATTTGATGTAGTTCAGTAATCCGCTACACACTAATTGCTTCAGTTTGTTCAGTTTGGCAATTAAAAAAGGAGGTGACCCAAAAAGGGGAGAAAAGAAAAACAAAAAAGAAAAACCCCTTTAGCTACAAATCGATTGGCCCGCTGCTCAGCCTTGATGCTGATGTAGGCAGGTTTTGCAAAGACCATGGAAAGTAGGCATGTAAAGCCCTCCACATACAATGAGCTCTCTTACAGTGTGACATCCTAGCAGCATACAGTGTGCTGCCAGCAAGGCAAACAATCAGCCAAAATGTCAAGAGCTTTTCCTCGTCCTCGTCTCCTCTTTCAGTGGGCGCTGTTCAGCATGCTCTTTTATTAGCCTTTGTTTTTCTGAGACTGGTGAGATATGCATACTGAGCTGTTAGTTACTGTTTACCTATCTATCTGTCTGTCTGTCTGTCTCTATGTCTATCTGTCTGTCTGTCTATCTGTTGGTTTGTCTGTCTGTCTGTCTATGCAATTATCTATGGATCTATGTATCTATCTATACAGAAATTCTCTGTATAGATCTATTCATCTTATCTCTCTTATTTGCCCATTGAACTATCTATATAGAATCTCTATTTATATATCTATCTATATATATATCTGTCTCTATCTATCTGTCTGTCTCTCTGTCTCCAGCATGTAATTTAGTCTCTGTCTCTCTCCTCTATTCAGAATTGAAACTACTTTAATGTGGCTGCAAATAAACCTTTGTTTAATGTTAATGGGTTCACAGAACAGTCTGTCAATAGTTCATCTAATTATACATTACAGCACATCATTAATTGAACTAGAAGTGCTCAGTGACACTAAATGTAAACGTTAAACCATGCAGAAGTCAGTTTTCAGAGTGTTGTCAGAACACAGGAACTGCAGAACTACAGCGTTAAAAACAATTGCAGCACTTTACTGAAGGGTACACGAAACCTAATGAGCCCTTCATGACCACTGACATAAACCTATATAAACAATTATAAACACTGATCCCAAAACACATCATTCGTCATAAAGGTTGCAAGTGTTTAACTTCTGCTTCAAAATTAAGTAAATCAACCAATTTTATTCAACAAAGCCATCAAAATAAAATGCCCCATTATTAGTGTTTAAGCCAAGAACAGCGTCAATATGACAGTTTTCAATGAAAGTTCATTTATCTTAAAAAATAAATGTTAAAAAAAATGTATTATGTATAAGGTACAAAATCAGTTGTCATTTCAGGTAACACTTTATTTGTAGTGGTCTTTTGTAGATGATTAATAAACTCTTAACGGATCAATAACACATCAACAACATATCAGTGAAGAAGCTGCTGAATACACTGAAGTAAATGTCTTGTAGATGTACAGTGGATACATTACATTAAGTAGATGTGTTGTTAATATGTTACTTCCATTATGTAAAACCTAACCTTACCCAACCTTCCCCAGAACCTAACCCTAACCCTGGCCCTAATCCTAACCCTAACCTTAAGCTCAACCCAAAATCTAGTCCTAACCTTCATATGTTTTTCACGTTACTGAGAGTCTGTTGAGTGTGTGTTTCATCTAAAAGGACCACTGAAAATAAAGTGTCACCTTATTGAAATTGAATTCTGAAGAATTCTTTCAAATTCTTATTTGAAAGTCTGATCTGCTGCTATAAATATTTTAGCACATCATTATGAATGGAATGATATCTAAGCAGAAAGAGGAAAGACTCTAAATGATCATGTAGTATCATATAGTAAATATGTGTTGCAATGACAGTGCAATATCATTTGTGTGGGTGATGTTATGGAAAAGGTCTCCAAAATACATTAATATTATTAATATAACCAATGCAGTTTTTTCAATAATGATCTTGCGAAAAATGATCTCATGTAATTTCAAGCAGCGGAGAGGATATCCCAGTGTGTAATAGGCCAGATGCAATACACAAATTACTGTGTGGCTTATCCATGTTAATGATTGGATGAACATAATTAGCATTTATTATACTACTTTTCACTTGTTCTCCAAGAGATTTCAAAGAGCCTGAGCCACTAAAATCTGCACAGAGCTTAACACTGCACCATCAAGAGTGCTTGTGTTTTTTACACCGCTGTGTTGGTTTATATTTTGCCATTACCTTACACACATCACTTTTCAAACAGCTGTCCAAATGCTGGCAAGTTCAGAAACCTCACTTGATGAAAACGTCTGGCATTTTAGGTGTTACTTTTGGCAGTTTCATCACTACATTTAGTGACCTTGGAGCTGTTAGTGGGCATGCAGGTAGCAGGCTATAACTTTAAGTGTTCAAAACAAAGAATTATCTGATGAAGGGTTCAGTTGAACTCTGAATAATGGCTTCCTATGGGGTGACTTAACTGCCAGGTAAAATACATTATGAAAATGATTTTTGCCCACAGTAGCAGAAAACGTAAGGTAAGCCGGCTGGACTCTTTCATTTCTGTGCATTCTTTCTGCGGACTCTCGAACAATGCTGTGGAAAACGTGCCGCAGTTGCGATGCGATTAAGTATATGACATTCAGTTTGCAGAGAGGGGAAGGCTTTCTGAGCTGACGTGGGTGGTGGCCTGGTGGTCGTATGTATGACGTCATTTACTTCAATGTTTGGAGTGACATCATATGTACGGCTGCTAAACTGCTACATGGGACATCAAAAACCTCTCAGATGTTTCAGTTTTACATGCATGTTCTAAGGCGTCAGGTAAGAATGACTGCACTCGAGCAGCCTCGCTTCCTCTTGCAACAGACGAGTCTTCCAGACATTAATGTTGAATTCATTAGACGATAAAGGAGGAGAACAGCGAGATGCTTTTGAATTACCTCTTGGCTCTCTGTAGAATTCTAAGTGTGATGACTCATGCCAGTGACACAGTGGCTACAGATGCCATTTGAATCTTGATTTATCATTGTGGAAAGAGCATTATCTGCCTGCTTTAGAAAAGCCTGGGCTGGATTTGGAGCCACTCTACAGCACACAATGCTGATATGAGCCGAGCGCTCTCACCGCATTCTTATCTCCACAATCACGCTTTGCCATCTTTTGCAGCATCTGAAGTGCCTTTGAAGTGTGAAATTACTTACAAACAGAAATTGTAGATTCATGGTTTAAAAGTCTTCCCTTATTTGACTCTTAGCATTCACAGAACTTATTGTGAAGCGGTGTAATTTGTGGTTATACTAAAGCTTATCACTAGATTATTTTCACTGTGCATGCCGGGTTCAGAATATGCGTTATCAGTAATATCTGCTATAGGCAAAAGTGACTACGCCACTTCAACAGCCATACTTAATTCTTAAGTGCACCTCTTTTTGCAGAGCGTAACTACTGCGGGTGCAGGAGATCCTAAAGCTGAGCCGACGACAGACTTCTCTCTTGCTCCTGCTATGGGGGTGATGGAGGGGGAGAGACAGATCATGACCGAGTCTCAGTATAAATGCCTGGAGTTGTTGAGCAGAGACGGGCAGCGCAATAAAACAGGTAGAAGAAAAGACGTTGATTCTCTTAAATTAACCTCAAATTGAATGGCAGCTGGTGGTGCTGTTATCTGGTGATGATTTTGTCAAGTGTCAAACTCGTGCTCTCTGAGCTGTCAGTGATGGCACTGCGCAAACTAATGAGCTGCTGACGACTGAATCTGACACCTAAACCTTTATTTAGCTGTAAATGAGAGTCTGCTTTTCAAGTTAGGCAGATGAGCTGCAGCGTGTACTTGCTTCTTATTGAACCTTTTAGGGAAGTCAATATTGATCCTAACTGTAATATACTAATTATTTTGATTTAAATGGACTGATGTGAACAAAAACAGCCATCCATACCACAAAAATTTTACAATATTTTGGAAAAAGATTAATGAAAAAAAGGAAAGATGTTAAAAAGATGTGACTGAAAAATATATAAACACAATATGGCAAAATTGCATGACCAGTAGGATTAAAGTATGCAGAATCATCATTCAAGTCAAACTAATCATTGCTGATTCGAGAGGGTACATTTTACTTTTAACGTCACTCAAGCAGTCGTGATGGCCCTCAGACCTTATCTACTTTGGTGCTTTGCTAGATTCCCACTGCAGCAGGTTCTGGGACGGCTGGCTGTGTTGGGATGAAACTCCCGCTGGGACGTACGTTTCTCAGAGCTGTCCTGACTTCCCCACTTTCGACACCTCAGGTGAGGCTCACAAAGCTATCAACACACCATCTGGATCCTCTGTCAGTATCAAAGCGCTTGACCCTTCAGATCATTACCACCAGAGACCACCTTAGACAGACGTTTTATCTGTGGTGTGTTCTCAATCAGCTTGTGATATAACATCAGACGCTGTGAGAGAGTTCTAGTCCAGGGCAGGCTGCTGAAGTCCAATATAACAAAAAAGAAGACTTTTTTTCAAGGTCTCTGGGAAAGCCTGTCTGGGCTTTATTTGGAAAAATGAAAACAATTTATTAGCTGTTAGGGGAAAGCAGAGAGCAGTGCGAGAACATCTTGAGCTCTCCTCACATCAAATGACAAAACATTATAAAAAATAAAATAAATAAACCTGAAGGAAAATTGAGTTATTCTTCATTTTCTTGGAAATTCACTGAATCTCACTTTGAGGGGGTGTTGTTGTGCATTGATTTGGGTAAGTACTGAATACCTTTACCATTAAATGAATACTCTTTTGTTTTTCAGTCTTATCTCTATATTCTGAATCTGTACTATTCTTCACCACTGACAATAATTTTGAATAATTTTCTCTGTACTTACACTAAAATTTGGAGCCAATATTTTCAATAATATAAAAACAATTTGCTTGCAAATGAATGTATGAAATTAATGTGCAGTGAATGAACGTATAAATAATTAATGCATATTTAGAATGCATTATTGTACTGATTAAATCTAAAGCCCAAGAGGTTGACACAAAATTGTAAATAAATACATTATAATTACATTAACATACATTAATAAATATATTAATTAACTTGAAATACTGAATAGAACCAGTAAAATACCTTTTGGTATCTAGTTTATGACATTTAAATCTACACTGTGTAAGTTATTACAAAGATTTTTGTGACAAGTGATTACAAACTTTTGAACGATAATGTACAAAAATACAGAAAACCAGTTAAAATCATAGAGTCGCTTTGTGAATAAACATTTGAAAGACATGACTGTGCAAATTCAAAACTATAGTCATTACACTTTACAATATACGGCTTAGGATATACAGACATGAGACACTGTCTTATCAAAGCTGTTCTTTTGAACTATCAAACACTAGAGCAACACCAATAAAACACAATTCCAGTTATATTTGTGTTCCTGAAGGTTTTCAGGTATCCACTGGTAAAATACTGAATGAGTCTTACAGATCTACAGCTGAATTTACAAACTCCTTTTACTCAAGCATTCTCAAAAATAAATGTTTACTGATGGAACTGAATAAGTGCCTGCTGGCTTCTATTACTATAACTCTACTTTAGATCAGTTAATTCCCTGTTATTTCCTAAGTGGAAGAAAATGTGTTATCGTAAGAGGTAATGGACCATATTCTACAGATGTAGCAGATCAATCCTGGAGTGTTCCTTTACTACAAACAGTGATTTTAGATACAGCATGTAATGGTCTGGTATCTTAGTGCTGGTACCTTGGAGTTTGAGGACACCACACTTGCACCTCTGCTTATTACGTACAGAATCTAAAATCAGTGTTCATGTTCATGTTGTTGACACTTACGTTTTCTTGTGTGAATGAAGTGACAGTAAAATCAATGCACACTGGAAGACTGAACAGAAGGTTGTTAAAGTGATTACATATTGCCTCAATCTTCTGTTCAAACATAGTCCAGAACACAGCTATTTACTTTGACAGTCATTCTGTGTACTAATGCACTGATTGATCCCAAGGCACAGCACTGGAGTCACTACAACATGCCAGTTTGAGTGATTGCAATGTAATCTGTTCCCTTCACACAGAAAAAATAACCAAATATTGTGATGAATCTGGTAATTGGGCACACAGTGTCTCTGTTAATAACACCTGGTCCAACTGTCTCAGACCATCTAAGGACAAATCAAAGGTAATATTTTATTTTATTTGCATCTTTTAATTGATTGCATTGCTTGTTAAAGTCTAGCAGTGCTAGTTTTTGTAAAGTACATGCCTTTTTAATAAAAAAAAAAAATATTTCAATGTAATGGACACTTGATTCTCAAAGAGTTTGGCTGTAAAGTGACTTGGTCAATCTGTTCTACTCTGTTTCTAATGGCTCTACTGTACCTCAGAAGGGCTCAGCTCATGGTGTCTTGGATGCAGAGGCAGATTCCACAGTGGAGACTCTGGTTAGTCCTGTGGTCACTCAAAAAGCGGAGGAGAGGAAGAAAATCATTGACGGCCAATATAAATGCTTTGAGAAAATGAACAGGGACCTGCCATATAACAGATCAGGTAGAGATGAGCTTTGATTTTGAACAACAGCAAAATTCAACATACAACTCATATTCCTCTGGAATAAAATGTGCTAATATTAAATCCATACTTTTGAAATCCATAGCTAGCACAATCCTGAATATGAACTAGATCTACTTTTTAATTCTAAACACTTTTCTCTTTGACCTGTAGGTCCATACTGTAACAGGACATGGGATGGCTGGCTGTGTTGGGACGACACACCTGCAGGAACATACACGTCTCAAAACTGCCCCAACTACTTCCCTGACTTTGACCCCACAGGTAAGAGCAAGATAAATCAAGATGTTGCTGTTAGAATTTACACTATTTCCATGGGCCTATGATGCCTGTAGTTTAACAAGATGTGACAAGCTAAATATTACAATATCTCTTGGTGATTGTTGTCAAGTCTTTTTCTACTCAAGAAAGCTGAAAGCTTCCTTGAGAAATTATTCTTCCTCCAAACCTGCACAAAATTGGAACACATTATGTCTCTCCTTGTATTAGAAAAAGCCACAAAGTACTGCGATGAGACTGGAAACTGGTTCCGACACCCCGAGACAAACAGGACCTGGTCCAACTACACCCTCTGCATTGCCTACACTAAAGACAAGTTAAAGGTGAGACTTCATAGCATCATTCTTAAATGTCCACACCTCTAAGGAAGACTGAAATGCACATCTGAAAAGCTAGGAAACTTCAAAAATGAAGCTTGAACAATTTACTTTGAGACCAGATGGAAGCAAACACATTTGGTTACATTTGTATTCTATTAATAGAATGTGCAGGGCTTTGAGAAGAAGAAGGGTGGGGAGGGTGACTGGTTCAAATAAGTACAGAGTCAGAGTTTGAGATTTCATCCACTTTGGCATTGTACTTCTTGCTCAATGTTGTGTTTGGAAAATTATGAGTACTTTCTCTTTTTAAGTCAATATATACACTGAACAGTCCAGAAAAATCTTAGAACATTCCACTAATAGGCCAATCGCATCTGGTGAACAGAATGTGTAGTGTTATGTGTATTCTTGCAGATGGCGTACATTCTGTACTACATGGCCATTGTTGGTCACGCTTTGTCCATTGCATCCCTCCTCATCTCTTTGGCCATATTCTTTTATTTCAGGTAAGTTTATGTGCTCCTTTTTGAACATTTCTGTTGTAAACTGAGGTCTGACTGATAATGTTGTAAAGTCAGAGGAAATTCAATGACTTATACAGTCATTTCTCCAAAACACTGTCTTTAGTTGCTTACTCTTTATTCCAGCAGAGTCAGAAGAAGTGTAGAAGTGGTTTCTATTCTAAAGCAGCCGGGGTTTTGTCAGAGGTGTTAATGGTGATGAGGGGGTGAAGCGGGTTTCATTGTTGGCATCTGATATTTATTTAACTGATGAGCGCTTGCTCAGACTGCTCAGAGTAATTTACCGGGGGACTGTCGCTAACTCCATTCATCACTAGAGCCCATTCAAAGTGAATTGAAAAGATGGATATGTGTTTGCTGTGAAGTGCCACTGGCACTGTGAACCTATGGAAATACAATCAGTGCACAGCAGTTTAATGTGTTTAGTTCTAAATAATGTATAATAGCCGTTTGGATGAAGTGATTATCTGAATATAGCCCGTTTCTCATTTTTCATACTTTGTTTTACCCAAAGGCTAAGCCTCCTCAGTAATGCTTTTATGCAAAGTAAAGTTTAGTTACAGAAACCACATTTTGGATTGCGTGATGTTTTGGAGGAGTGCCTGTAATAAACATTTGTGAAAACAGTTGTAAATAAGCCCTAAAAGCTTATACTGCAGTTTGCAAGATTAAAAGTTCCATAGTTCTTTACAACTCATTTGGCTCTACGTCTGAAAGCCTGTTGTCTCGATTTCAGGCTTTATTGCCTGCTAATTCTTCATGTCCATTAGTTTGGCTGACCAGGTCCAGGGTTGTAAGCCAAATGACAGCTAAAAGTGTTTGACAGGTTTGTGACAGTGCCATTTCATGCTGACTTGGTTTGCCTTTTAACTATGGTAAGTATTCACTGAAGCAAACTCAATTTCATGGGTGGATTCACACAGGTGTAACACAGAGAGAGCTACATATACTGATTGCAGCATGTGACCACCATCAGTCACCTATGTTTACGATTCTCACCATGTAGCCAAACAGCTGTATTGTTTCATTCAGCATCATGCACTATTTGTTTGATTCCTTTTAAGAGCTGGTTTTTATCGAGTTAATCGAGGATTGTGGCTGGATTTCAGTTTCAGAGGGCTTAGTGAGAGTTGCAAACATCAAACACATGAAAGCTAATGAGGGTCATGATAATGGCCCTGCTGTGTTTACTCAGGCAAGACGACGGTGGCATTAATATTATATATTTACATTCAAATTATTTACATTCACTAAGCCAATTATGTTTTCATTGCTATTATCATTGCTATTGCCAGTTTTTCAATACACCTCGTCCTCTTTTGAAAGCATTTTTGATAGCATGAGCATTTATTCTGTATTCTAATTTGTTTGCATACAACGTTTCATCACTGAATGAAGCAGCATACAATGAAAAACTGACAATAGGATGCAATGAGAATGCATCTTTTAAAAACATGGAACAAACATTGAAATGGCTGAAAGCAATTTGGATGCATCTGTCTGTAGCTGCATCCTGCATGTGGTAAAGTTGTGATTGTGCTCTGACATATTTACAGTCGTAATTCGGTAGCGCAGCCCACATGCTGCAGTGATGATAGTGGTATGAGGAGTGATTGTGGAACTGTAGGAGGGGGGAAGAACTCAGGGAACTTGGGCTATAGTTCTAGGTGGTAGATGCTTTTCACTAGACCCCCCTTCACAACGAAGAATGGAATGGGGAGTTGGGAATATACAGCAGGAAGTTAGATAGTTTTGAATTTCAGATTTGGTCTTTTTCCCAAACTGTAGCTATTGCATAACTCCATTTAAACACCACATGCAGGGCTTAGTGGGCAAAAAAGCCCACACACTTTATTACCCCATAAATTTCATTAGTACAACCTGTACATGCACATAGCTGTACAGTATTACATGTATTTATTTAGCAGACGCTGTTATCCAAAGGGATGATAGGGAAGGGAAGACACTGTAGTCAATGTACAGTTTTGTGATACACTATTTTCAGATTGTTTTGGAAGTTTTAAAATTGTAGAAATCACAAAAAAGGACTGAAATGGCAACTTCATGTATGGTCTCAAAATGAACCACTGGAAGTTTATGGTTTTAGAGGGGCACCTTTAAGGGTGTGACATGTATTGTTTGATCGCCATAAACCTTGAGATCTTAATGTTATCTTATTGCATCCAGATGTGGTGTTTACAGAGGAATTTGATGCTGTATAGCAGCACAAGATTTTTCATTTATGCTCTTCTCTAAACAGCAGCAGAAAAGACTGGTTAGAAATGTGTGAGGCAGATTGGAAAATGAGTGCTGTTTTCCCTCAGGTCTTGCCAGTCTTCCGAGAACAGTATCACAGAAGGCAGCTGATCTCAGTGGCTTTTTGGACCCATTAGGCTGAGGTCATGTGAATGGCATGACTTTTTAAATGTGGAGAATTTGTCACATCTTTGAAATATTTTAGCCATGAAGTATTTTTGGTGTCTTGGTGAAATTTATAGAGACAACTGTTATCGAACAGACCACTGTCTGTGTAGACCACAAAAGTTGTTGCAGATGTCTTACAATTACATTACTGTGTTTTTCATTGCCCTGCTAATTGCAGAACAGCAAGGTTAATCTCTGAACAACAAGTGGCATTTCTTTTAAGCTGAAAAGAAAAACAGCTTAAGCATCAAACCTGTTTAAGCTTGTATTCAGGTTGCACAAAAAAGGGACAGGCACTATCTGGTAAACACATTATGTTAATAGAAGCCAGGATACTCCTTCCAGTGGATTGCTTCTTATTTTTCTGTTTACTTCATCAAAGCCTTAATGCCTTGTTTGCAGAATGAAATGTGGACATATTGCAGATCAATTTTTTATTCCAGAATTTTAAATGTATTTTTCATCTGTGAATATTCAGCGTTTGACAGAAGACACTGGCCCAGTGTATCCCAGTGTATATGGTGCTACTGTATTAGGTAAATAATAATGTGATGTGAAAAGGCACCAAAATGTGAAACATTAAAATGCATAGCTACACTGCACTGTGGCCTGGGATGTCTGTGTTTTATGTGCATGTGCAGTACTTCTATGAGTTTCCCTTTGCTTTAACAGATGATCAGTTGAGCCCATTGTTGTCTATGGCTGTCTCTTCCCAGGAGTCTAAGCTGCCAAAGGATCACCTTGCACAAGAATCTTTTCTGCTCCTATGTGCTCAACTCAGCCTTCACGATTATCAACCTCATATTTGTGGTCAACAACCCCAAAGTGGTGGAGAGGAACCCGGTAATATGCTCTTATATGACACTAGCACTTAGACCTTAAAAAAAGAGCCAAATTAAAGGTTCTTTAAGTGTGCCATAGAAGAACCCATTTTGGCTTCCTAAATAAGTGTTTTTTGCCATGACCCAAATTGGCTATTGTTTATCCAAAATATGCCAAAACTGCAACAGCAAAACCATTGAATACTTATTCAAAAATACTTCTTAAAAAAAAGTAAATATTTGCTTTAACTAGACACCACATATCTTTTTTTTGTGTAACTGCTGACCCATAGATTGTTGTTGGAGGAAAGGGCTCAGAACGCACACTATGCTGCAGTGCACGCTGGGGACTGTAGTGCATCACAGGGTGAAACAGGCTAATAAGAATAGATAATTACCATAATTTTGAAGGCCGATTAGGACTGTGTCCTGGGCATGACTTGGTCTGCAGGCCTTGTGTTTGACACAGAATTTAAAGGTTCTTTCACATTTTGTGGGGGTTCTCTAAAGAAGCATCCACTGAAAGGTTCTGTAAGGAACCAAAGTGGTTCTTCTGTGGCAACTTGCAAAGAACTCTTTTTGGCACCTTTATTTTTAACCTCTTTCTGCAGGTCCCCAGTGGCCATTCCACTGGCAGAATGGAAATTGACTTGTATATTTATTATTAATATAATTAAACAAAATGTTTTTTGTAACGCTGATGTGAGATTAACTGGGACACTGTTGGCTCCTTGTGTGTGAAATGTTATGACTCTATGTTGAGCTGCTAGTGAGCAATGAGGGGCAAGAACCCCCTGCTTTGAAAACAATTGATACTTTTCCACAAAGAAGGCCTTGCTGAGATAAAAAGGACACCACAGCTGCAGCTTGTTAGATGTCAAAACCAATTGTCTTAATAAAAAATGACCTTTTATAAATGTCGACATGCTTTTTCACCTACAAAGATGAAAATCCAAATCTCCTTTGGTTTTGTAAATCAAACACATTATTACCTAAATATATTCCAACAATGATATTGAAGAAAAAAGTGCATAGTGCAGAGGAAACTCCAGGTAGAAATGTTATGTTGAAATGTTATGCATGTTATGGCTACTGTGAAAAGGCCTTAAAAGTGCATTATGTATAGGCTGTAAAATAGCACATAAAAATAATGAATTCATATATATACAATACCATTTATTCTGCTTCTTTCTTGTTAAACTTGCAGTTAAAAACCTCAAATATTACAGTATTTTGGACTTTGGTTGAGTAAACGTCAGCTGTTTGAACTTGGTATGTGTTCTGTTTTTTCATCTCAAGCTCTGTACCAAGGAACACATAAATCTGCCTGTGTGGAATCTAACTGATCTAGGGGTTTGTTTGGTGTTCACAAACAGAACAGTGTTCATTTAGGAGACAATTCTTTTTGCGCACACCATGAGAACCATACTGAGAGGCCTTTCAAGGAAACTGTCAACTTTGTACTAGTGAATACAGCATGTGATGCAGGCGTGGGCAGGCTGTGCGTATGGCTGCTCTCTGAGGAAAAGTGAAATATCATTATGAGCTGAAAAAATAAGAGTAAAATGAGCTGTAGCTTTGGATTAGAAGACAGGTTGGCGTAAGGTCTAATCTACGAAAACCATTGTATAAATAAAATGGAGCATAGAATTGGGGCAGTGCTGAGGCCAGATGCTAAAATCGGCCTGGTCTGGATTTAATCTCCCATCTCTGCCGTTTTCCTCTGCTCCCTCTACTCATACTGTCACGTCCTGTCTGAGAAAAAGTCTTCACATTCAATCCATCTGGCTAATTCCACAGCCAGCTTTCACTCCTGTCTACCCTCTGCCTTCATCCAGCTGACAGGGCAGAATGACAGCCCTCACCTCCAATCAAAACAGATCTGTCTCAGCATGACTGCTGCTGTTGAGCCTCTCCTTTGCTTGTTTTGGTCTTGTTTTTAACAAATGGAGGAGTGAAAAAGATGAGGAAGATGTACAGCAAGGGTGAGCCCTGGGATGGTCCTTGCTTTAGTGATGGTTGAATAGAGATCAGCTTTGGCTTCAAAAGCTTTTCACCACTTAGGTTAGAAGCTAGAGTCCAGTTAGATGTGTGTGTTGCTTCTGTTTGCTGAGAGATGGCTGTTGAGCAATGTGGTACGTTTGTACGTATCTTGGTAAAACATGCTCATTCCATTGGGAGGCAGCTGCGTTCTTTATTTTTAATTTATGGCATCCTTGTTCAGTCACAAGAACAAACCCCCTTTGCTTTTCGATCCAACTGTAGCAGGTCCAACTTCAGCGATCAGAGGAAAGTACATTTCCAGCTTTTAGGTCATATGTAGGAGGTGAGGAGCATAATCAGACCAACTCAGACTCCCAAGTTTTTTTCCAAACCCTGCATAATCAACTTTCATTAATGTGACAAGAACCACAAGAAGTAGGTCACAATACACTTATACATTGTACTGTACTGCACTATCTACTTAAAAGAAGGAGGTTCATGAGATTTGCAGTTGTGCTTCTAGGTGTGAGAAAGCAGCAGGCAGAAGGGCATAACACTGTGGACATATGGCAAAATGATTTTTGGGATGATTGACAGGTTTTTGGGGTGTGTGATCCAAGGCTCAACGGCTTGAGTCTGAAAGTTTTGCCAGAATCCACTAATTAAATCTACACACGTTCTCACGGAGGAACGTGATGGCCCAGGAACTCTGGGTCGAAGGAACCTCTGAGCCATGGACCATTTTGTTTGTCAATTTAAATGAGTGCACGAAATCCCTATAGGGCACAAAAATACAGAGAATACCTAATGAGCAAGGAGTGTTTTATTTAACAAATTGCAAATTTTAATTTCCGTTCTAGCAAGTTTCCCCTTCTATCATACAACAGAACCTGCAAACACTACCTGCACTTCTAAAGCAGGTTTGACTCAAATGGAAATTAAAATGGCAGAAAATAAATAGAAAATGGATTTAGGGAAAGATTGCGTAAATGCATGCTTATCCTCAAGAGGAGAAAGTTTGGCAGCAGTTAGCAACGCAAGTACCCGCATGAATGTCATCCAGCTGGCGTATTCTGTTAGTCTGTTTTCAGAAGACAGACAGGTTCTATGAAGGTAACACACTTTGATGTACAAACAGATCAAAATAGTAACTGAAGCCTGTCAAAGACATTCTGCAAAAGGACATAACTCAGCAGGAGCCAACATGCCCAAAACAAACCTCCGTATACTACAGAGGAACTGAAGACTGAGATCTGCTGGGAATGTAGGGTCACTTTCCTCTTTCTGTTGTTGTAGGTTGGCTGCAAGGTGCTGCACTTCTTCCACATGTACATGCTGGGCTGTAACTATTTCTGGATGCTGTGTGAGGGGATCTATCTGCACACTCTCATCGTGGTGGCTGTGTTTGCTGAGGAGCAGCACCTTCACTGGTATTACCTGTTGGGCTGGGGTGAGTTTAAGAACTGCTGTAGCTTTCCCACTGCTGTTAAATTTTAGACCACCTATGCTTGCTCATGTCTTAGTCTTACTGCGCTGATAGTTGACAGTGATCCAGTGTTTTTGTAGGACATTGTGACTATATGTGACACTGAAAGTGCCACTAAAAGATCTTTCGTTGTCAAGTTTAAGCATTCTTTGCTGAGGTTTTCTCTTTATTTTGTGAAAGACTTCAGAAAGAACTTCCAAATCACTGATAAATCAGCTAATCCACTGACAGACCACCATTTGCATTTGTAGTTTTGACATCACTGAAGGTCAGGCTTAATTCGTCACCCTGGTTCTCTGACGCTGTCCACACTGACAGCTTTATTATGACGACTTGCCTGAGATATGGCCTGGGCTGTCTCTATTCTGCAGCTCTGAGTGCGAGAGAAGCTGAGAGGTTGTGGCAGCACTGATAAGTGGACAATATAAGCTTGAATGGTGAACAATTATTAAAGATAGTGCGATAACCTTGGACAGTATCTGTCACAGTTCCCCAAAGGGATAGGTGACAGCTCTGGACCATCTGCAGCCAATCTGCCGGCAGGCTTCATTGCCTTTTAAACTGACCTGAGGAGACTGATTGGCCTCTGCTCATTCTAACATAAAAATCTCAATATAAATGCTATTCCACTGTTTATGGATGAGGAGATTCCACTGAGCTTGCAGTGAGGGATGTTACTAGCAAGTGCGATTACGTTTAACCGAGTAGCTTTTGTTGGAGCTTGTAATTCTGTCCTTTCAGTGTCCTCTATTAATCATATGATAATCATCAGTAGTGTAGAGTGTAAGAATATGTATTGTAGAGTTATGAAACTATACAGATTAATCATACTGAGAACTACTGTTCTATTTTTGTGTTTTGTAGAAAGATAGTCAATATTTATGTATTTTTTTAAGGATTTCCTCTGGTGCCTGCCTCCATCCATGCTGTGGCAAGGAAGAAGTACTTTGATGACAAGTGAGTAATGTCCCTGTCCTTCTGCTATAAACCCTGAAGAGACACTGGCATCAGCGGTCAGGGCTCACATCAGCTTTATTGTTTTTTTCTGCTAGCTGCTGGATGAGTGTGGAGACCCATCTGCTGTATGTGGTTCACGGCCCCATCGTGGCAGCTTTATTAGTGAGTCCTCACCTAAGACTGCCACAGACACTAACACCTGGTGTACTTACATTTGTATATTAGTAGAGAACCTTTTGATAATCAGTATTCTGCAGATGAACTGATTCATTTTTGAGAAATGTTCTGTAACATTACTGATCATTACTGATATGTTCCCCTTAGTGTAAATGGCTAATTTTCTGCTAAACGTACTGGATCCTCAAATTTCATAAATTAGTGTTTTTTCATTAAAATTTCATTATAATTTTAATCACTGCCTTCAGGAGTTATTATTCACAGTTGATGAAGATTTATTACAACTATTCTGTGTGAAATTAAAATCTAAACAGAGCATGTTAGATCCCCATTCACTGTGTCAGCGATATTCTATTCATCAGTGAATACTCATTAATATTCTTTCTCGTAGGTGAATCTGTTCTTTCTGCTGAACATTGTGCGGGTTTTGGTGACTAAGCTGAGGGACACCCACCGGGCGGAGTCCAACATGTATATGAAAGCAGTGCGAGCCACCCTCATTCTCGTGCCCTTATTAGGCATCCAGTTTGTCATTTTTCCCTGGAGGCCAGAAAACCGTTTAGCTGGGGAAATATATGACTATATAATGCACATATTACTGCATTACCAGGTAAATAATATGTTTGCCTGGATTTTACTTATTGAATAGCCAAGATTTTTAAATAATGACAGCATTAATTATTTTTTTGTCATTCATTTTCATTTTCAAGGGCTTGCTGGTGGCAACAATATTCTGCTTTTTCAATGGAGAGGTAAGAACTGGAAACACAGCACAAAAACAAAACACTGGACATCACAGTCCTAGTTAAAGATGCTATTTATAGATGAGCCTGGCAGGTTGACTGAAAATGCTTTTTCGATGCTGATAACAAAGGAATGTATTCCTGTGCTTTGTCTGTGACAGCAGAATGGTAAGTTCACTATAACTTGATTCTGAAATTATCAAATGGCCTCAATTTGCAAAATGTCAGGAAAACTTTTACAAGTGTAGCTGTCTATTTTCCAAATGGATTCTCTTTAGACAGTATCTGTTTTGTAAATATTAAAGAAACTATAATAATAATAAAGTCATAAGATCTGTAAAAATTAAACTTGGATTTGAATAGAAAATAAAATAAGTCCTCATTATTAAAAAATGAATGCTAATGAATGCCATCCCTTGTTATTCTGCAAGTAGCATCAAGAGTTCCATATATATATATATATATATATATATATATATATATATATATATAAATCAGAAGCTAGACGGATTCTCTGGTCTTGTGGAGAAACGTGCGCAGCCTAGCGTCTTCCATTTATTTCCAAAGCTTTGCACGCCACAACAGTCTCACTAAACTTTACAAACGGCGAATATCTTCTGAAGCCTTGATCCTGAAAATCCCTACAGCTCCCACCAGGTTTTCTAAATAAGATTTTGCAACAACATTTCCGCTCTGCAGTCACATTGACAAAGCCATACGATTCTGGACCTTTGAACCTTTCAGCATCCTGCTTGTAGTGGAATGATATGAAAGCTGCTGCTGTTATTATTGCAGAATCCCACTGGCTATACTAACTAAAGTAAAGTAAACAAACAGATATACTTTGTAGGATAAAGCAGATAGAGCTATAAAATGTGAAAATAATGGCTGACAAATTAGGCAAACCCCATGCTTTCGAGGAAGAATCCCATTGCCATGGTAAGTAGATGGTCTGATGTTTACTAAATGCAGCGGGTCATTGCTGGCGGCGTATTGCCTGGCCAGTCAAGCGTTTACTCAGTTTCTGGGTGAATACCTGGCCATCCTGTTTAATTGACAAACCGATTCATACATGCTTGAGATCACTTTTTTCCCAGTGATTAGTCGTGACAGAATGCAAGTAAAGAGGGTTTATTTCAGTCTATTTTAGCGACAGGTTAAAAACAACTGTGGGGCATTTCAGGTGAGGTGAACACAGTTGGAAAATTTCTGTCACTATTTTGTGCCCCTGCTGTGAAATTGTCACAACTGCTCATGCACACACAAGCACATAACAGCATAGGAAGACTTTCAAAAACTAGGAGAACCACATAAATCGTTTGTGCACAAGCGTGTACCATTAGTACTTGCAAAATGATCCACTGACTTTCACCAGGGTTGCGATTACCTCATAGAAAGTGTGCTCATTTGACGGGGCATTAACCAGGCGCCTTCATTCAAAGCAAGACACATGCTTTTTGCTCAGCAAGGTGAAAGGTTGCGTGAGGAGAGCACTGAATCCTGCCATGTGTCGCCTGGCCCGTCAAAAGAAATTCCCCAGACTCTAAATTTACACATGACGAAACAAGGACAATGCAGATAGCCCTACAAATACAACAGTTACATGTGAATACTCAGTATGTGGTTCCTGGCATGGATAAGAATGCAGCAAATTAGCAGCCCTCATCAGGCTCTGGATAAGTCATGTTTTATACATGGAGAATTATTTCTGGGCCTGGAAAATGGGTCAATTATTAGCTCATGCATGAGCAGCCAACTCTCATCAGCATCAGTGCAAGCTTGTAAACTATTTGGATGTGTCCTAAAGACAGATCTTGTTTCGAGCTGAGAAAAGGTGCACTGACACATGATAATGGAGGCTTTGTGGAGATGTTTGTTTGCCTCGGCCTAATGATTTGTCCTGTACCCTTTCGTGGGACGTGTCCACCCGTTTCCTCAGTCTCTCGCTAAATCTGTGGCTGATCCCATAACCTCCTTTATTTTGCACTAAAAATATGCAGAGCAACAATTATCATTTCATAATCTGTTGTTCTCCCCTTAGCAGATAATTTGATTTAGTGCAGCAAAGACATGAGCATGAGAAAACAACACGTTCAATCCTTTTTGGGGCACTGCTATGGGGTTTAATGTGTGTCTGCAGTGAATTGTAACTAGGTACTGTTAAACACTTTGTAAAGGATGCCAAACTTTTTCCATGTGTGCCACACAGATTTATAAATGGTAACACCAAGGAAGGATTCTTCTGGCCATTATCACTGGTTAACCCTTGCAAATTTAGAGTTATTACTGTCATTTTGACTTACATTGCATAGTTATTTAAGTGTGATTACATAATTATTTGCATAGCTAGTAACATAAGGAATTACATTTACAGTCAGGTTACATTCATTCATTTTTAATTTGTTTTGACATCTAAAAAAATACAAACAGGCCAAAACTGTGAAGGATAGTGTATTCCGCTAACTTTTAGTCACAATTCATATCACAATAAAATATCTCCTATTTACAAATAGAATTGTGGGATCAATAAAAAATTCAAAATCCACAGTTTTGACAGAATTTCTCTGCTTTGTTCAGTAAAATACAAGTGACAATTAATCTAAAGTTAAAACATGCTTTTATTATTGCGAGCAATAACTGTGACATCTAAAGGTTAAGATGTGTGCAGTTGAATCTTTGCTGCCTCTAAGTGAACCCTAGCAAAATGCCACCTGTGTCCTCCTGCAGGTTCAGGCCACTCTGAAGAGGCAGTGGATGCAGTATAAGGTGCAGTGGGGTCAGCGGCGTCGTGAGCATTGTTCCATGCGTTCCACCTCATACACCACCACCTCCATCACAGAGGTGCCTGCCTTCATGTTCCATCACGACTGCAACAGCGAACACTTGAATGGTAGGCATGCAGACGACTCTGAGCTTGTGGCACTCAAGGCCAGGGAGACCTACGCCTGAGGCACCAAACATCAGAGATACGCTTGTGAGTGCCATAAGAGAGAAGAGATGAGAAGAAAAGGAGACAGAGGAAACTGGAGAATCCATTACTAGGCGATCACAAAGATAAAAGTCCTTGCAGGTTCTCCAGTCTCCGATAATGCATACAGGTCGACAGTATGACACCCAGTTCCTGCGTGTTGGCGGCAGTATCTCTGCTGAGACATGTCCTGAGGTATATCACTGTTGTTTTTTTCTTTCCTCTACAGTTCTGCTGCTCCTGCTGCATAAAACAGACAGATAGACTGAGGCGGCATTCCTGAAGAATGTGACACATTTTAGCTGCTAAACCCAGGCCCTCCTAGATCTTTCTGGGCCCAAAGTCACAAGCAGAAATGTTGCTTCGCCGAAACCAAAGGGTGTGTCGGTTTGTTGGACACAGAGAGGCTTTAGAATCATGGACATGAGCCTCCAGTGTATGCAGGCCGCTCAGCGAGAGTCTCTGAATGAAACGAAGTGGTGAATAGAAGTTCCTCTGTGCCTAAGTTCTGGAATCCTGTACATACACTCATCAGGTTCACTTTAAAAGTGTCAAAGTATGTCGTGAAGATTTTCATTTTTTCTGACGGTTGTCTTGCGACCCAAAATCACTTTTTGTCTGTGTTGTTGGACTCGTGACTTTCCTGTTTGTGCAGCTGCGCTTTTTGCTGTCTGTGTCACAAGAGGAGCGTGCAATGGGAAAACAAGAGACATTTTTAGGAGTGTTTTAAAGATAATTTATACGCTTACAGTGCAAGTGCATAAAACATGCATTGTGAAAACGCTGAGATGAAAGTCAAAGTGAACATGTGGTGAATAGCCCTTTGAGTTTCATGTTTAAGAATACAGTTTGTTTGATCAAGGCCAACACAGTCCAAAAAGCATCTTCTTCAGTGTTTAAAGTGCTACATTCTTGTCTGCAAGGTTTGACATTTATACGTTTTCTCAAAGATACAGTTTTTTTTTCTCTAGGAACAATTTAAACAGCACTATCTTTCTGTTTTCTTTCATGGTCTCATCTTGTAGTCTGGTCAATTATCCAAGGTTCTTTGGTCTTTTTTCTAGTTGGAATCCAACTTGTATGCTATAGGTGATGTGCACTTTGTGGTATGAAAATCATTTTGTCTAAACATAGTCCCTTTTTTTCATTCTTTGAAAACAACCTCAAGCTCACTGAATGTAAAATGACTGAAGTTACATAAACAATATAGTTTTAAATTCTAAAATAAATTCTAAATGAACAATATACTTTTAAATTATAAATATGCTTTACAAATATGATGAAAATGCAGATAAATCTATGCTATACAAAGATATGTAAGATAATTTTTCTCACAAATGCTATGTAAATTGTTGAATATGTCAGGAAGAACAAGATTTATATTTTATAGCTTGAGGAAACAATACAGCTATCTATTGATATACTGTCCATACTGTCTTTTTTTTTTCAAAATATTAAAAATATCATCTTTGTGATTACATTGGACTTGGAACTGTACTTTTTTATTTAAGAGTGAAGCTGAGCTTGTGTATATGTGTAATGTTTTGTAATTGGGGAGTCTGAAGTGAAATCTTGACAGGTCAGATTTCATTGTGAGTTTGTCAGTATACTGGACTTGGTATTTACCATGTAAATTTGTATGGCTTAACATGGTGTTGATTTATCATGGTGTACATATTGCCAGTCAGTCATGAAGCTCATCTGAGGTGCATTTATAAATTATATGCTGAACGTTTGTTTAAGTCCAAATTATGGCTGTTGCTTTTGGCATTTCTATTGCCTGTATGGGCCTGCTATCCTGAGGACTACAGTGCTCTTGAAGTGTCTTATTTATCTCGTTATTTTTATTCATTTTTTTCTTTGAATAATGGTGATTATCGGCATGTTACGTGTTCTGTGATCTGTCACCCTCTTAAATTCATAGAGGATACTGGATGCTAGACACATTTTAGCTCCCTACCATTAACAATACAAACTGTAATGTGATCATATCAAAAATTAAGTCCACAAACAGGGATTTAAAAAGCTATTTGTCCCCATTATATATCATATACCTGTTGATTCTTCAAGATGCTTCGTCTACAAGCACAACTTTCCAACCATAATAAGGCACACCAGTAATTACAAAAAATAAAAAAGTAGGCAAATCAGTTACGGCACTAATACACAACTTTAAATTTCTATTTAATTTTAGTCTTGCATCCGGCCCCCTCATACTGCGTTTACAACGGTTGTTGTTTGGAAATTCCAGAGTGTGGCTTTAACGCATGGCATAGGTATTTAAACCCAGATATCTCTTGGTATGTATGTAATGGCCTTGATGATGCCCGCATGTTGCAGCTGTATGCAACCAACATTCCAAGCCTGCCCAAAATGCATTATGCCTCTAAGTCTTAGCTCTGTCCACTAGTTACTTTAGGTTTCAAATTCAGACTGTAAATAAAAGATGACCCCTTCTATGTGCTGATGCATCTTCATTACAGACAGGGGGACAAACAACAGGCAACAGTATTGTAACCTCAGTATTAGGTCTGATTTTTTTTCTTACTTTGATACATTGCCAACTGGGTATCCATCAAATATCAGCCATGCCTTGACTCACATATGATCAACTCAATTTTTAACATTTACTTCATGTAGTAATGTTGTCCAATCATGCAGACAGTATATGTTGCTTCAACAAATGTATGTTGCATCAACATATATTCTTACCCATTTGTAACAGGGGTTTCATCTCCCGTAGCTAGTTATTGTGCAGTGTTTTGAAAAGTGGGCAGCAGATGCCTCTTATTTTTGACACTTTGTTGCTAATTTAAAGACCTAACATCATGACTAATCACATTGAGCTAAATGAACGTTCATGACTGAGATGCGATCTAATCTGTCCCATGGCCGTTAAACTAGAGACAGCAGCTTGTGATATTTCTGGTAGAGATGTCACTTCCACTAAGCATCTCCATGCACAGGTGCTGAACTGACAAATGCCCTCTGTTCTCTACTATCTCTGCTCTCTTTTCTCAGACTCTGTCACTTCTTTGGATGCTACGTGCCATCTGTTTACAACCAATATGAGTCCATAAAAGCAGCCATAAAATTTATACTGCTCTGGATAAACAGATACTTGTGTTTGATGTTCATCATTTAAACGGTTGTTGATGCTTTGAATAATTATGCTCTTATTCTTCAGAATGGCCTCGGAAAGAAGAAATACAATACGTTTTACTTAGAAGGCTTGGAATGTAGCCCTACTGCATCAAGTACTTTAACAATGTAGAAGAATTCCACTGCACAGATGCACTTAAAATTAACTGAAGGAAAGAGTGCAGAGAATAGTGAGTATTTGTAAACATCAGTGATGCTGTCACTTTAAACCATAAAACAGTAAAATGTCACAAAGGCACGGTTCATTTTCGAAGTAATTCAATGTTTCTTTTTGTCAATCAAAAACCATTACATGTTTATATGTGCTGGAACTGGCCAAAAGTATAAACAGTAATTGCAGGGGCAGTTCAATCCACTTTTGAAGCATCTTTTATGAACTAATTGTATGTGTGCAGATGCATATGTATGTTTATTTAGACCCTGTGAAGGCCTGGATACACTAAGGGGAAACAACAATTTCTTGCGATAAGTTACGTATGTGTATGACGCAACCAGCAAGATTAACTACAATGACAAGCAATAATTTGATTCTGATCGAAATTTAATTCTTGTAAACTTGTAATCAAGTAATGTTAATATACTCTGCAGAAATATTCAGTTGTTGATCTGCCATGACAGAAATTCCCTTCCCTTCAGTCTGGGCCAATATCTCAGCCTGTTTTTCAAAGAGATTTTTCTGTATAAAGTAATACAAAATAATAGAGTAATATGGTGTTGTGTCTCCAGGCCTTAAGAAACAAAATCAAAGTAGAACAATAAAAAAACAATTACTGGTCACCTGTAGTCTTAATAAGAAGAAGATGAAATGAAAAAAATGTCTGACGATGCAAATATTGGATCATTTTATTGAAAATAAAAAGTACTGACTGACAATCAATTTACAGCCAACCCCCACATAATGACCAAGCATGACTGAAAGAATTAAAAAGAGTGTTTCATTGCTTTAAGCATCATATGGTGTTTTCAGTTACCCCAGTTCAATGATTTTGGCAAACTAATGTTTTGTATGTGGAGACAGAAGTTTTGTGTAGTCGGTGTTACACTGTGAACATGTTTCAGGCTTTGTTTCAAAAGTATTCTTCTTACTGCATTTTCCCTTATATGTTTTATTTGCCATTTTCCAGAGATGACAGTCTGCTGTTCCTTTTTGCCAGTGGTTTGTTAAGCTATTCCAATCAGAAATATACTCATGAAAATGTTTTGCTGAGATGTGTGTTTTTTATATTTACCTATGATTTAGTTTTGTCCTACACTCTTAAAAATGGTTCCTCAAGGATTCTCCAGTGAAGACTAATGGTACCCTTAAAGACCCATCTTTTCTGAGAATGTACTGATGTTTCTGCTAACAATCATATTTTAAAAACCATATACAGGGTAACTTGTTGAAAGAAGTCCCCCAGGTTAATACACCCCTTACCCCCTTAATTTCTCTCCTGATCAAACGATGGGGCCAAATCTAATCACAATACATTTACTGAAAGTCTGTGGTCTAATAAATTTGAAATTTCTCATTTTTGATTACCACATTCCAGTGATTTATACCCCAGAAACCTTTTGGGGTCAGGTGCTCTATTTTTGGATAACAGTAATCTTTGCATTTATACTAACTTAGTTTTAAAAATCTATGATTATAGGGGTTTGTCCAGAGAGTTTGGATTTTTATCATAAAAACACAACGCTGTTCACTGGAATTTACTGGCTAGCTATCCTTCATATTACATGCTAGTTATAGCAATCATTAGCCAGAGTAGGTAACATTTTCAGTCATCTTGCTGGAGATGAGTTTGTGCGAGTTTTGCAGCATCCACACTTGATATGTTCTGACATGTCTAATAATCATTTACACTTACCTGTGAAAAAAATGCAAAAC